CTTTGAAAAAAAAACCCTCCACCGTCCGATAGTAGGAGTTTAGACTCTAGCTCATTTGGGGATGGGAGGGCTTGGATGGGTTGCAAGAGCTAGAGAGTTACACAATTCAAGCGCTGAAGACTTCTGGGGTGCAGGTGCTTCAGTTTGTTTCTGTTCAAGCCTATGCAAAGGTGGCTGGTGTATGGTTTGTGAAGGGCTTTCATCGGCGTGTCCGCAGCAAGCGGGCACCTTTGCGCTACGATTTTTTCCAAGATGTGAGGAGCTTTCAAGCCTTTTGCGGCTTCATGCAGTCTCATGTAGCTTTTGCTTGTCTTCGTCCTGCGCATGGTGCTTGGCCTTTTGCGCTGTATATGAAGGGCCCCTTTTCTAAATGAAGCCGCAAGCAGCCTGGGCCGGGGCCCGCCGAAGTGTTTCTTGGGCCCTCCAACTAGGGCCCGTAAGAATCACTTCTCCTCTTACAATCCTTTTTGAAGGAGAGGGTGTTTCGTCAGTCTGTCCTAATAGGGGGGGTCATGGCAATTCCTGGAGCCCCAAACTCCAAACCCTAAACTAGATATAAACTCCTGATGCAACGCCAATGTACCTCTACGCAACCCCTACACAATCCCTATGTACCCCTTGAAAGGGGCCCTACCCACTACCAAGTCGAGCACAGTTGACATCAAGCGGGTTCCGGAAGGCATGTCGCAAGCATCTGCCTTCATCAAGCCTGGGACTTAAGTGGACATACAGTTGTCAGGCTTTTGGGGTTTTGGGTTCAGGCAAAAGGGTCTTGCAGTTTTCAGTTTTTTGGGTTTGGGGTTTAGAGCTTTACAATTGTGAGGTTTTTTGTGTCTGGGGTTTAGGGTTTTTCAGTTGTCAGGTTTTTTGGGTTTAGGGTTACGGTTAAGGGTTTAGGAAAAAGGGTTTTACAGTTGTCCGGCTTTTTGGGTGGTTTTACAGTTGTCGGGCTTCTTGGTTCCAGGGTTTTAGGGTTGCCGCTTTTTGGGTTTAGGTTGTAGGGTTTCGGGGTACCCGCATACACCTAGCCGAAAGGCAAGGATTCTGGATCATAGAGTCGTAGACTTTTGTGGTTGGGTTTCAGCTTAGTTCAGACTTCAGGGTTTAAAGTTTAGGTTTCAGTCTCTAGTTTAGGGTTGAAGGGCAGTAGGGGATATGTAGGCGTTCCGTGGGGTTCTAGGATAGAGCTTTCAACAAGTCGGACTTTTTTTTGGGAAGTTAGCACCTTTACCTTCTGAGGTATATACATGAGGGACCCGTAGTTCTGTACATACCCATTTAAAGCCTCTGCATTACTTGCTGCCCCGTGCTTCAACCAGACCTTTCCTGCTCGGTGCAGACATTTAGCATGGGGCAGAAGGTCAATATTGTCTTGGCTTTGGTGCTTCTTGAGTACAGCTTGTAACATTAAGCTGAGCGGCTGCAAGGGTTTAGGACATCGTCTTCTCAATGCTTTGCACTAGCGAGAGTCCAGGAGTCCGACAAGTATCCTAGTGGTACGCTGCCGTTTGTGTTATTTGCCGGCTTCTGACGATTCGCATGGGCGCGGCTCCGAACCCTAAACTCCTGACCCCTCGACGCTCATCCGTGCCTCAGGTTCACAGATGCAGAGGCTATGGACAAGGTCATTGAGGCACAGCCTCATCATACACTGCTCGTTAGGCAAACCCAGAAGC